CTTCCCTTCCGAGCTCATTCCGGAGCCTCCGGAGGGCAGCCCGCCCGGGCCCTGGACCCTACACCGCGGCCGTAAGAAGGTGAGTACGATTCCGATCTGCAGGCCGCGGCAGACCTCGGCCTCTCCTAGTCTGCGCCGCCGGCACCGTCGCGTCGCGCTCGGCCTGACGTGGCGGCGGAGCTCTGGGGCAACGGGTCCGGGAGGGGGACGGGCAGTGCCAACGTGGCGGGGGGGGGGGGCACCGAGAGACCCACGGGCTGACAGGGTCGGGGTCACGTGGCCCGGCGAAGTCCCTAAGGGCTTAACTGGGGAGAGACCCGCTGGCGGCCCTTTCCTTCTGGCCAGAGAACTGCTTTGGGGACCATCCCAGAGCTGGGGAGACCTAAGCCCAGCGAAGTGTTCAGTCGTGCTCCCGCCCCTGAAGCCTGTCTGGCCTCCCCCAGGCCACCAGCAGCCCAGTGTCCATCTTCGTGTATGATGTGAAGCCTGGCGCGGAAGAGCAGACCCAGGTAGCCAAAGCTGCCTTCAAGCGCCTCAAAACTCTCCGGCATCCCAACATCCTGGCCTACATCGATGGGCTGGAGGTACCTGCTGCCTTGGCTGTGTCTCTACCCTTCCACTTCTATCTCCTCTCTTCCCATCCCTGTTTCCATCCCTTGGGCTTCAGCGCCCCCAGATTTAGTTTTCTCTTCTCACCTCCCTCCCCACCCTCTCCCCTATCCCACCCTGATATCCTCATGTCCCCTTCCCCAGACAGAAAAATGCCTCCACATAGTGACAGAGGCTGTGACCCCACTGGGAACATACCTCAAGGTGCGAGCAGAGGCTGGTGGCCTAAAGGAGCTGGAGCTCTCTTGGGGGTTACACCAGATCGTGGTGAGTTAGGGGTCGATGGCGATGGGAACGGGGATTGAGGGCTGCAGGTCCTGGGGTGTGATGGCTCCTTCTGCCCCCAGAAAGCCCTCAGCTTCCTGGTCAACGACTGCAGCCTCATCCACAACAATGTCTGCATGGCCGCTGTGTTCGTGGACCGAGCTGGAGAGTGGAAGCTTGGGGGCCTGGACTACATGTACTCAGCCCAGGGCAATGGTGGGGGTCCCCCCCACAAGGGGGTCCCTGAACTTGAGCAATATGACCCCCCGGAGCTGGCTGACACCAGTGGCAGAGTGGTCAGAGAGAAGTGGTAGGTGACTGCAGGCCCCTTACCTGCCTTATTCTAGAGGCCCCTCAAGTCCCAGGACCCCTAGACTAGTTGACACTTTTTCCTGTTCCCTACTGCCCATCTGGAGAAGGAACCAGGCTCCCAGGAATGGGGCCCACTTCTCTGTTCTTAGAGTCCTCAGGTAGTAGGGTAGGAGGGACACAGGCTTTGGGGTTGGATGATTCTGAATTTGAAATCTGTGACATGGAACAGATGTCCTTGCTTCACTGAGTCCTGGTTTCTTTATCTTTTTAAATGATGCTAATGACACCTACGTCTGGGGCTGATGGGAGAGCTGGGAGACAAGATCAGTAGTGGGTACCTGGAGCCTTGGCAGGTTGGAAGCCTGCGTTGCTGGGTGGTGGGGCCCTAAGCACCTCTGGGTCACTGCCACAGGTCAGCAGACATGTGGCGCTTGGGCTGCCTCATCTGGGAAGTCTTCAATGGCCCCCTACCTCGGGCCGCTGCCCTGCGCAACCCTGGGAAGGTAAGCACCAGCTCCTTGCTCTCTTCCTTGCCTCAACCCCTCCCAGCCAGCCAGCCACCCCTTCCCTGACACTGACCCTTCTACAGATCCCCAAATCACTGGTGCCCCATTACTGTGAGCTGGTGGGAGCCAACCCCAAGGTGCGTCCCAACCCGGCTCGCTTCCTGCAGAACTGCCGGGCGCCTGGTGGCTTCATGAACAACCGCTTTGTGGAGACCAACCTCTTCCTAGAAGAGATTCAGGTGAGCCCCTCACTCTCTCCAGGCTTTGGCCCTGCCTTTCTCACCTCTGTCCTGCATTTTGGGGTCCTTCATTGTTGGACTCTCAGGAGACAAGCATAGACTGTGGAGTTAGAATCATTGGGTTCAAACTCTGGCTCCAGCTCTGACTTATCGTGTGACCTCCCTTGGCTAAAGCTGGTAGTAGTAGCTACTTCACAGGAGCGTGCTGAGGAGTCAGTGAGTTTATGTAGATAGTAGGAGGCTCTTCACAGAGTTCATGGAGAATACATATTAAGAAAAACGATGGGGGCCAGCTGGTGGCTTGGTGGTTAAGGGTGCTGGACTCCCATATGGTCAACCATGGTTCAAGTCCTAGACCTGGTGGCTTGCTTTCTCGCTTTCTCGCACTCTCACTCTGTCCCTCTCTGGTCAAATTAAAATAAATAAATAAAGTTAAATAAACTAATTCTTATAAAAAAGAAAAGAAAAGAAAAACGATGTATGGGGGGACCAGCAGGTGACGTAATTGTTACATTACCGGACTTCCACGTAGTTGACCACAGTTTGAGTCCTGGCCCCAGTGGCTTAAAAGTCACACAGGGCACATGTGTATGTGTGCCCAAAATCCTGAGATGAGAATGAGAAGAGGGGATAGTGGCATGGCCATTCCCCCGGAAGGTAATCTCTCTCTTTCTCTGTCTCTCTAGTGAGCACATGCACCCTATAGCAAAATTCTCTCTCTTTTTTTTTTCTTTGCAAAATTCTCTCTTAATGAAAAAAAAAAAAAAGACAAAAGAAAAACGATGTGTGGATTTCAACATCTTTTGGTACCAAAATAATTTTGTGGGGCCAGCTCAACTGGTGCAACAGTAAAGGGCTGCTCAAGAGAGAAGCTGGATCCCACATGGGGATTGCAGTTCACATCCCAGCCCGGTCAGCCTGAATGAAGTACACCAAGCATGTGTGCAAGTGCCCAAGATCCAGTGAGCGTGGAGGACTGGTAGAAGGGCATTGTGGCACGACCAGCCCTTGTGGAGGGTGCTTCTCTGTCTCTGCACTCTCTCCCAACTCTCATGTGTGCATTCACATGTTCTATCAGGAATAAAGAAAAAAAAACAAACAGCTTTTACTTCAATTCCATTTTCCTATGAAGTTTTTTTATTGTCAGAGGACATGTGTACGAGAGAGAGAGGAGAGAACACTCCAATAGGGTGTGGTCATGCCACAATCCTTTTTCCTCTCTCCTGTCAGGGTTCGGGCACATGTGCCCAGTGTTTCAAGCTGCTGAGGCCAAGATTTGAACCAAGGTCAGCCATGTGGAATCTGGCCATCTGTGCACAGCACTTAACCGCTGTGCTATGAGGCTGGCCCTCCATGAACTTTTTTTTTTAAAGAATTATTTAATTTTTAAATTTTTTATTATTGTTCTTTTGTTTGACCAGTGAGAGAGAGAGAGAAAGCAAGCCACCAGGTTCAGAACTCAAACCACAGTCAGCCATGTGGGAGTCCAGCACCTTAACCACAATGCCACCTGCCAGCCCCACTCCTCCATGAACGTTTTGAAGTCCTGTCTTACAGAATTCAGCACACAGCAGGTGAAGGGACTGCTGCTGTTACTCTCGTGATTCCATACGAACATTCTGGATCTGGTCCCCAGTGTGCAGCACCTGTGCTGGGCGGAGTGGAGTAGGTAGAGGGGGTGGAGAAGGAGAGTCAGCCCTAGGTCCTGCCCCCAAGGCTTTGGCAAAGAGTAAACAGACTAGGCCCTACCCTTGGGAACTCTCAGTGCAGGTACGAGACAGAAAGCAGAAACGAGAAAACCTGGGTACCCTGGATAAGTGCGGGGAAGACACAGGGCTGCTCAGGGAAGGGTTCTCTGAAGGGTGACATCAGAGTCAGGACTTGAGGACCTGAAGGTGCGTGCCATAGGATGGCAGCTGGGGGAAGAGGGGCAGAGGAACAGCAAATGAAAAGATGGTGAGAAAGGAGCTCTGTGCTTCACCTCTGAGCCTCCGTTTCCATATCTGTGTAATGGAGAGAACCAGCATATCTGCTGGCCCTCTGGGCAGGGAACGCAGGAGGGAGGCTCTGCTCTGTTCACCTGCCCTGAGCCAACCATGTGTGGAGAACACAGGGAGGTGCCTGTGAATTCAGGGCGGGGTGGGAAGAGAGTAAAGACCCTCGCAGAGTCTATGGATGAAGAGTGTGGGGTCTAGGCTCAGCTGGAGGCAGGGAGGGCCTTTGGAGGATGAAGCCTGAGCTGCTTCTTGAAGGAGAAGCTGTTGCAAATGTGGAGACTCATCCCTGCTGCCTCCTGGGCAGTGTGGGGGCAGCAGGACTCTTCTGTGGGGTTCTCCTCACATGACTGGCTCTGCCAGACTGCCTGTTTCCTTAAAATGTGTCCCATAGGAAATGGGTTGTGTCTGGGGGGGCGCCCGGAGACTGGGCGGGCAGTGCCCACAGCCACTCTTCCATCGTTGGGTAGAGCAGTGGGGAGAGCTCAGCTGTGACTCTCTTCAGATGTGATCTTGGACATGGTTTGGTCTCTTTCTGGACCTTGTCCCTCTGTCCCCGAACCCTGCAGTCAGAGCACCAGCCTGCCTTGCACACTGGACTGAGCTGTTCAAGGGCCACCCAGCTTTACCTGTCCCCAGCGAGAGGTGACCTCTCTTGTGCCAAGCTGCACCTGTGGGGGTTGGAGTACAGCAGAGGGCACAGGGCCTTTGGAATAAGGACTGGATTTTCAACCTGCCTGGATGCTCTTGGCTGCTGACCTTGATCCTCAGCCTCTTTCTTTGTTAGTGGGGAGTCACAGCATCTCTTTGAAAGGTGCAGCATAGCAGAGACATCAGAGAGGGGTCAGTCCCTTCCTTGACTGCTTCTTAGCTGCGTGCCTTTGGACAAGATCTTGCCCCCTCTGTGCCTCAGTTTTTGTTTTACGTTTTTGCCATAAGGTTCATGTATGTGCTCACCATAGAGAGAGAGGGAAGGTGAAAAATCACTCCCCAGGGGGTGGCCATGCTGCAATGTCTTCTCCTCTATTCTCTTCTTGGGATTTTGGGAGTGCAAGCACATGTACCCAGAATGATTTTCAAGCTGCTGGATCCAGAACTTGAACCACAGTTGGTCATGTTGGAGTCCAGCACTTTGGGGGTGCAAGCACATATACCCAGCATGATTTTCAAGCTGCTGGATCCAGGACTTGAACCACAGTTGGTCATGTTGGAGTCCAGCACTTTAACTACCATGCCACCTACTGGCCCCCTTGTGTCTCAGCGTTGTTGGTAACATTGCATTACATTGGCACTTACCTCAGGAAGCTGTGGGGAGGATTATTTGAGATCTGTGTGATCTGTGCTCAGGAAATGTGAGTTAAGGGCATTATGGCCTCAGAGGGAGATAAGGAGGACTACAGGAGACCACGGAGCTGGCTGACTTGGCTCAGTGGGAGGGCTGGGTCTGAAAGTACACAGCTCCTAATTCCTGCCTTCCTGCGGCCTGCCAGGATCTCCACAATGTGACGTTGCAGTGTGCCCAGCCTAGCTGGGACAGGGGAACTAAGTAAGCCTCTTCAGGTCTTTGAGCTTCAGTTTCCTCATCTGTGTGACAGGGTTAGTGGCACTCACACCTTGGGTCCTGTAGCAGAAGAGAGCATCAATAAAGGGCCTGATCTCCCCATCCCCCGGTGGCTGCTCTCCTAGCGGCAGGTCAGATGGCAGTGCTGAGATGACATCACTGACTGAGCACGTGCTGTGTCCACGCGCTGTGCTGGAAGCTTTCATGTGCATTTTCTGGCTAAATCCTTAGAACAAACCTGTGTGCTAGTAGAGTTGTAATCCCATCTTGCAGATGGAAGAACTCGCCCGAGGTCACATGACAAGTAGAGTTGGGGTTGAACGCAGGCCATTCTGCTCCTTCCAGCTGGGGTAGGCTCCTATCCTCATTTGTGGCTGGGGTGGGGGTGGGACCAGGCTGATTTCTTCCTTGGGTTCTGTCCTCACTCCCTCAGATCAAAGAGCCAGCTGAGAAGCAAAAGTTCTTCCAAGAGCTGAGCAAGAGCCTAGACTCCTTCCCCGAAGATTTCTGTCGGCACAAGGTGCTGCCCCAGCTGCTGACGGCTTTTGAGTTTGGCAATGCTGGGGCTGTGGTCCTCACACCCCTCTTCCAGGTGAGTGGGGCCTGGAGCATCAGGTGCTATGGGGCCCAGAGAACTGGCTGGCCCCATGTGAAGTGCCACCTTGCGTTGGCTTGGGGGACGGCCTAGTTAGGGCAGATCTAAGCCCACATGAAGAGGCTCTTCCTGCCATGCCAGCATCCTGGTGGCTCAGCAGCCCTTGGGGAGGAGGATCCCTGTAACTCCAAAATCCCTTGTCCGTAGACCTCATTCAGAGCCCTCAGTGTCGCTCCATTTCCCCAGGAAAGCTCCCTAGTCTGACCTGTGCACTCTGGTTCCCAAGGCCCAGGAGATCACCTTCCCATGACACTACTTTTCCATCCTCCCTCCTGACCTTTCAGCTGACCTGATTTTTGGGGCTGGGTCCTCCCTGCCTTTCTTAGGAACCTGCCATTACTGCTCTGCCACCT